ATGGATCCTAATGGCTTCTCCAACCATTGGGTGTATCCACCACCATCCGAGTGGTATTACCCCGAGACTCCCTGGAGCAATCAAGGAAGAGAAGACTATGGATTTGGGTTCCAGTACCAACCCCCTTACTATGGAGAACAACCGGACCCTTGGGCATATCAAGAACAACCTCATTACCAAGAAGAATTTCTCCCACAACCAGAATGGCCATCGGCGCTGGAGTTACCCATGGCGGCCTTCACGGGCCATTCTGCAGAGCCATGCTACACTCCACAGCCAGATCCAAACAATGAATTGAGGCTTCTCATGGAACAGTTTGCTCGAGACAGTGAGAGAACATGCTCCAGGATGGATCATTGTGTCCAGGCCTATCGTGAAACAGAGGAGATCCTCCTGATCCTTAAGAAGAGCGTCGATGATCTTGAGCGATCTTGTGCACAACCTGCTCCTGATCACCCTTCTGCTACCATACTAGAAGAGGGAGGAGGAAGAAGAAGGCTACAAGGACATTGTGGAGCACACTAAAGTTGTCACTGAGAGCTCCCGTGATGATCATGATCAGGAATGTCCTGTCATAGCCGACCACACCTTCCCACATCCCAAACTGAGCTTTGAAGAGGCGGGCATGAGTGAGGAGATGCAAGAAGATCTCATGAAAGAAATTGCTTGGCAGCTTGCTCTCCAATCCGTGCTAGAAGAAGAAGAGCAAGAAAGGGGGCAGAAAGAAGTTGTGGAGGATGACGAAAGTGAAGCAGAAGGAGTTCTTGATCATTTCCCAGGGGTGATACCACATGAACAAGGAAGGGAGGTTGAAGAAGCAATTGGCGTCCAGGCCGAGGACGAAGTTGAGGTGGAAGAGGCCTGCACCGGCCATGAGTTACATGTGATATCTCCACCAAACTTCGAGGAGCTGCTTAGTAAGGATCCATTTGCAGTGTCTCTTTGCCAGACCAAGGCCACATCGACATCGGTCCCTCTTGGTGGACGCGATGGTGGTCAATCGATGTTGTCATATATGGTTTGGGGCAATGAGATGAGAGAAGAGAAGAAGAGGTCTCGAGGATGGAGACTTCATCTGCATCAAGTGCACGAGCTTCCATCACCTGTCATACCACATGCTCGTGACTTGAGACTCCACCTCATCGACGCGAACCTCAACTTCAAGGAGGTTCTAGCATGGACCGAAACTTAGGAGCCATCGTCTGGCTCACAACGTGAAAGAAGCACTTGTTGGGAGGCAACCCAACCAGTCAGTTTGCATTTCTTTCTCTATTTCTCCTCGGTTGAGTCAGTTTTGTTATTTGATTTTAGAGTCAATAACTCAACCTTTGTGAGATTTTGTGTGGTGTTTGCGTTCTGATTACTCTCTCTTCCTGGAATGCACCGCCTGACCCGTCCATCATCATTCACCCTTGATCTGGTAACTTCATTCTACCCTCCTTATCTTTCCTCCATTGAGAACAATGTCGTGCTTAAGTGTGGGGGGTGTTCGATTATGTATGCGGGTGAATGTTTGGCTGTTTGTGTGCTTGGAGCCTAGTCCACTGTCCAAATTTTTAAATTTAAGGGCTCCAAGTACGTGTTTCCTTGCAAATTGCCTGCTCAGTATGCTTTGAATCGACTTCTCTATTGTAATGTGCAACCTAGGGAGGTAGTGTAGCACTATGGAGGATGTTGAAGTATAAGATTTTTCCTATGTAGCTCTATGTTGTGCCAGTTGATTTTGTGAATTAGTGGAGCTAAGACCGTTGAATTCATGTGGTATTGGTGACTCTGTTTGGATTGTGATATGGACTCGTGTATCGAACAGGGTGCTCATATGGAAAATGGGAAGCAGTTGGTCCTCCATGTCGAAATCATTGAAATCTTAAACATGGGGTAAGCCCAACGTGTGTGGCACCGTTCATTGCACAAAATCGGGTTTTGGAAGAGATTTTAGTGATCCTTAGTGGGGTACTCCTACAAGGTGAAGCTAAGCTATCTCTAGTACAAGTAAAATTTTCGCTCGTTGAACGGTTTGCCTACTTGAGGATTTGTTTTTAAGGGCACGGATAGAGCTTCCGACCCCCTTGATTTCATTGACCCTCCACACGAGTTGAGGAAAAGGAGTTAAAAGAAGTACTCTGGCAAGCGCTAGATGTACAAAAATTGCTCTTGCTCGACTAATAAGGGTCGACCGTGCAAAAGACTGCAGTTGGAACCCCAGCCAAGTGAATGAAGAAAAAAAGAGAAAAAGAAATGTAAATGAAAGTGAAAAAAGGGGTTCCAACGGTGAAATGAAGTGAAAGAGCACCCCGGTACAACGAGTCCTTGGTTGTGAATGGTGTGAGTCCCTTTGTCCATGAACTGACTGTCTTACTTCTACTTCTTCTCATGTTCCTGGCTTGAGTCTAGTACTTGCATTGAGAGAGATAGGGGACGTCTTAGAACACCAGTTGACCTCGTAAGCTGCTATATGATCTAGGAAATCCTCTACGGACGATCGGGGTTGTTTGTTGCTATAGAGGTCTGGAGAGCTGCATTGGTTTTAGTTAGGTTTTCTTGGGGACAAGCAAATAGTTAAGTGTGGGGGGATTTGATGACTCGGTATTTGCACATGTTTTCCCCTTTGTTTCTTGATTGTTTGAGCTTGAATTATTGCGTCTTTGTCCTATTTTATGCTAGGTTGTGTTCCTTTATCACATTTCAGGTCCTATCACATAAAGTGAAGCATAGGCGCAAGTTTCAAATCAATCAGAGATCAATTGACGATTCGGGAGAAGAAACTCGTGCATGACCTGAAGAAGAATGGATTTCTACCTCACTTATGGAAAAAGAATCATGCAAGCTTGTCATGAAAAGAAAGAGGACGAGACTACGAGCGTCTGGGATCAAACGGGGACTGATTCAGAGTCCGGACGAGGGAGAAACGAACCATTAAACAGAGGCTGAGCAAGCCACACGGGCATCCTGGAACTCCACACGGCCGTGTGGGTCGTGGCCGTGTGGAAATCCCCGAGCCTTCACACGGGGAGCTGGGAAAGCCACACGGCCGTGTGGTCTGGCCGCGTGATCGGGAATTTCTGTTTAAAACTCGATTTTCAGCCAAAGGAAAGGGGAGAGCTGGGTTTTGGGTTCCCAAACACCCAAGGGACGAACCCTAGAGAGAGAGAGAGAGCGACTTGGGAACATTCTTGGAGCTATTTTGGAGGATTTCTTTGCCATTGGAGCTCGGGAATCAAGCTTGGAGATGGAGATTGAAGATCTAGATCAGATTTCTGCAGTCTCTCTCTTCTCTATGGAGTAACTTCCCTTCACTTAGGTTTTGAGGAACCCTAGTTCCATGTGTTAGGATCTTTCTTGTATGAAGTTTTGTATGCTATATTGTTTGATTATAATTGATTGAGGCATGATTTATTGAGTCAATTGAATCTTGAGCAAATTCTCTTGATTTCTGCTTTAACCTATGATAGATAGAATATGATTAGGTTAAGAGAGCTTCCTTGATTGATAGTGGTGAATTGGTTGTGCGAGAGTCAATCAATTCACTGCTTTGTACTGGAATCCAATTCCGGTAGTGGAGTTCTGTGTTCATAGCCTCAGCTTTCTATCCCGGTGAAGGTTAGTCGCCTGCCGAGTAGTTGGACTGAGAGGGCTTGGTCAGCTTAAGAGATTCCAAGCTACTGTCGGATCTTCTGCAGTTTAATCAACAGTAGATCAACCAAAGGTAATTGCAACTTGGACCTAATTGAGGAGCTAGGGGGAATCATACCTAAGTGAGTTCACAACTTGTAATTAGTAGAGTAGTCCGTAGAGTAGTTTATAAATCAATCCTCAATCTAGTTTGCTAGATAATGAACTGAAGCTGAGTAATAGTAACTCTAGAGACCTGTGGATTCGATATTTATTACTTGTGCCACTATACTGCAGTCCCTTTCATTGGTTACACTTGGCCATTGTTAGGTGTTGTGTTTTAGCGTGTCACATATTTTAGCAACTTGTGGTTGACTTCTCCTTCATTGAACTACTTTTTGTCGTGAAAACTCTTTAATCTTCTCTTTATAGCTCATTTGGTCCTCTAGAGTTCTTCAGTGCTTGATCCAATCTTTCTTAGATTGCTTTATACCTTCAAAATCATGAAAAGTATACCAAGAAGGCATCAAATAGTACAAGAACATTGTCTAGATCTATTAAAAGTTTATTAATCAAATAGTTATGATTTAGACTAGAAACACCATTCAAATGAAAAGAAGCTTCAATAGATGGGGAAATATATTTAAAAAAATGGGAATAATAAACATTATAAATAAAGTGTCATCAGTCATCCCACCACCCATACTTACAACATCTTCACTGAATCTATGAAAGGTGGTGAGTTTGCCTATTGTATTTGCTTCTAAGAACCTTGCTAAGTACTAGTAGTACATAGTTTGTGTACGAAACGACTTTGCTTGCTACTGTATTGCTTCCAACGATAGGTACACTTGCCTTAGCTTCGGTTTGAGGGGGAATGTTAAAATATGATTGTTGGTTTTAATTTTTATTGAGCATCATATTGGAGGTTGTGACTTATAACTCTATGTTTAGAGTCAAAGGTAACAACGACGAGATGTTTTTTTTTTTTTTACAATAATTCATATCTCACAAGCAAAGTGTGTAACATCATCAATAACCACCTTATCGAAAGATTCATCTCCACGTAGTGTAGTCTCGTTCGAACTGAGCGCGGAAGCCACACAAATCCTTCGTATCTCGTTCTTATAATCTGTGTGGGGTAGTCTAGTCCAATAATATCAAAATTAACTTCTTTGTAAGAAAAACCATACCGTGAAGCTCTGGAGGTGTTGTACGTACGTTGTCCAACAAAATTAAGTCTCCATCTCTCGCATATTTTTTTTTTTTTTTTTGCGTAAAAGGAGGCTAGCGCCAAGAGGTACAAGGGGAGCAGAATTACAAAGACCGGGTAGCTATAGTACATCTCTCGCATATATAGTACACTAATCAATCCTCCAAAGATGGAGATTAATGGAAAAGATTAATTATCACATCAAATGGATACTTAATAACATGGAAAGAAAGAAAGAAAGAAAGAAGAGTTCATCTCATGAAATCGTACATAATTATCCAGTTGAACATATATCACGAAACCACCATGATTTCTTTCTCTCTTCCTTTTAATCAATAGAATCGAGACGATGCACAAAACAAAAAAACAAAAAACACAATAAGCCGCCGCAGAGAATGAAGGAAAAATAATAATTAATTTAACTAGCTAGCATAGTAAAGAAGATCGGAATCCTTCTCGAATATGGCCATATCATCCTCATACAACGTCACCCAAGCCTCAATCCCCTCCCCATCCTTGGCATCCAACAGCACCACCATCTTATTATTCGGGGCAAACCCGTTCACCGAAACGGGCTTCCCCCACCCGAAGTCCGCCCCGTACGTCGGATACCTGCACGAGCTGCTTATCATTATGAAATCATCCTTCGCGTACTCTTCCCCAAAAGATTTGTTCAGCCTGAAATAACCCTCCGACTCATTCTCGTGCAGCTTCTTCAAGTACTCGTGGTTGATCCTCCTCACCGCCCCGCTCAACTTCCCCGCCAGCTCCCCCATCCCTTCCTCCGCCGTCACCTCCTCCTCCACCGGCCACGTCACCGGCTCCGTCAGCTGGATGAGGTTCCCCATGCACATCGCCGGCAAAGGCGGGCTCGTCCTCGTTCGCAAGTTCACCACCATCACCGCCGAATGTAACCCTTTGTTATTACCACCATCTCCTTCTTTTGTGGCCTTCTTCTTCTTCTTCTTCTGCTGCTGCGAGACGCGTATGGACGCGGCCCACATGAGCGACGACATCGCCTCGACACGTGTCCTCTGCCTGCCACGGAAGCACCCGATCTTCTCCCTCAGCTCCGCGATCTTCGAACCGGGGAAGAGGAAACGTTTCGCCACCACCGTCCGTTTCGGTTTCACGTCGGTGCCCTCGTCGACGGTTTTTGGTTGAGGAGGGAGGTCCTGGGACGGGAAGAGGGAGCTGTAGTCCACGACGGCGCCTTTCAAGAGGTCGTTGACCGCGGTGTCGCCGCGACAGATGGCGGCCCACGACTGGAGGAAGCAGGAGAGGGACGACGCGTCAGCCACGCCGTGGAACGCACACGCTGCGATGGCGATGCCGCCGCATTCGAAGAAGTTGACTCGAAGTGTCAGGAGAATGAGTTTCCCGTCGTCGTCGAGGCATTTCTCCTGAGGGGGGCAGGGGAGGAGCTGCACGAGACGATCCTCGTCTGGCGCGTCGAGGACGGAGGACGTCATGTCGTGTGCCACGTGGGCGACCACGAAGGTGGCCCCTCGGTCGTTGCAGTCGATGGAAACGCCGTCGTTTCCGTAGCGCCCCGCGAGAGGGTAGTAGTGGGTGAGGGTGGTTGAGAGGGTGGATTTGAGCTTGTCGACGACGTCGTTTTGGGAGGAGGGTTTGGGGTCGTGTTTGGGACCGTAGAAGAAGAAGGTGGGCATGTAGCCGGGAGGGGAGGATTGATCCATGCAAGAGAGCTTGTGGATCTTGTTGTGCGGGGGCGTTGGGGAAGAGGGCTTGATCGTTTCTTCCGAAATGATTCGGACGTTGAGTGACAAACCCTTCATTGTTTTTTTTTTTTTCTTTTCTCAATGAAATGCTTCTTTTCTTTTGCTTGCACTCTCTCTAGCTACGTACCGGTACTCTATTCGTTTCCTTGGTCTTTGCTTCAGCTATATATGGTGATGTATATGCGGGCTATAAGACGACTTTTGTGTGCTTTATTTATTAATGGTTTTCTCAATAACATGGCACCCACGACCCTGCGTTACCGCTGCGAAGGATCTTGCACGTAGAATAATGAAGATCAGGAGCAGGTAGTAATAAACTAATAATAATCACTTTTATTCGGCCAACACATGGGATATTTAATACCACCGTGTAGCGAACTAGCGACAAATCTGGTGATGATCACGTGGTTGGATCGTGAGTGGAATTATGGAATTCGTTGAATGTGTGATGGAATAGAAAAGTCAAAGTCTTCCCTTACCTAGACGAATTTCTTGCAGGTTTCGCTTCATCCTCATGGAAGGATAAACCTCATTTTGTGAAGTGTTAATGAGATTTGGGGATGAGATAGTATGACTACCTTTGAAAGAGTTGGAAAAATGACAACCCCTATTAATTATAGACTTTTGAAGGTAATTGATTTGTCTTGCATTTAATAATTTATACGAATTAAAAACTCATATTAATTAATTTCATTTTTCAGTCTAATGGTAGTTCTACCACTGCAATGATATCAGTGTACAGATACAATGGTACTTGAAAAAAAGGAATGTAATTAATATGACTTCAGTGTACAAGTGCAATGATAGTTGTATCAGTGCAATAGTAGTTCAAAAAAGGATTGTAATTGATATGAGTTTTTAATTCTCAAAGATTATTAAATGCAACACGAATTTAATACCATAATTAATTATAATTAATAGTGGGTGTCATTTTTACAACCCCATAGAGGGGTTAGCAAGCAAATCGATCCCGATGATTAAGGAAGGCTCTTTCATAGATAGAGGAAGAGTAGGCATGATACAATTTAAGAAGTTGCCACTTCGAGTTAATCGTTTTAAGGACAACCCTAAAATAATAAGACTTTCAATAAATGAGATCGAGTAAGTGGTTATACAGTGTGCCACAAGTCATAGTATGTTATAGAGATAAAATTAAAATCTACTACTTACTAATTATATCGCAATTCCTAACTCGAAATTTCATTCATATCCTCTAACGGGATGCCTTCAAGATTTTTCCAACCTTCTCGAGGTTTGAGACAGGGAGATCGTTTATCCCTTTGTCTTTGTTCTTTGCACGGAGGGCTTACCGACATTAATTTAAGAAAGCCATAGTCGAGGGACATTTACCTGGTGTCCGGGTCAGTCCAAGGGAGCCTAGTGTGTCACACTTATTTTTTTGCGGATGATTCTTACTTGTTCATGCGAGGCTCAATGCAAGATTGTGATAGCTTAATTTGGGTCCTTGTGGATTATGAAATGTTGAATGGCCAAAAGGTAAATCTGGCTAAGTCAGCAATATGTTTTAGTCGTAACATTTTGTGGATTTCTGTGTGTCAATTGCGGAAAGACTGGGTGTGGGAGTTGTCGGTGTGTAGGATCGGTATCTTGGGTAACCGTCGCTCATTGCACGGTCAAAATAGAACACGTTTCGGTTAATAGATAAAAACTATTGCAATAGCTTAAAAGTTGGAAGCAACGTCATCTATCTTGGGCTTCCAAGGAGACATTGCTGAAATTAGTGGCAGTGTCGTTGCCAATACATGTGATGTCTTATTTTAAACTCCCGGTTTACTTGTGTCGACGGCTGGATAAGCATAAGACTCAGTTCTGGTGGGATAATTCGAGTGAGGGATCCATTGGATGTCCTGGCGAATTGTGTCAGAGCAAGAATGAAGGTGGTGGAGAATTCTTAAAGAACCAAAGTATTTTCTTGCTCGGATTTATAAAGGAAAATATTCATGTATGGTTCTTTCCTTACAACAAGGAAAGGATCAAGGTCGTCTTGGGGTTGACAGAGTGTCCTCCATGATGCTCCATTGCTGGTGTCAGGATTAAGATGGCAGGTCGGTAGTGGTCAAGATATTTTTGCAATATTATTTATTAAAATGTTACTTAAAATTTAAAATTTATAAATAAACAACATGATATAATTTATGGTAAAACTGTTGTGTATATTATATTCATATCGCCAATTCAAACAAACCGCTCGAATTTGTGTATTTGCACATGTTTTCACTCTTGTTTTCTAACCATTTTTTAGCTCGAATTTGTTGTTCCTTGGCCTATTTTACGCTAGGTTGTGTTGTTTTGTCGTATTTCAGGTCCTAGCAAGTAAAGAGGTGCATAGGCGTAAGGTTCGGGTCATTTGGATGTCAGTTGGCGATTCAAGATGCAAATTACGGGAATCCCCTGCCCATTTACGGTCGTAATTGCTCCCGTCATGCCCGTAATTGCAATGTCGAGCAAAATTCAGGAGAATTCCTATCGCAGAGAAAATTACGGGCAAGAGTCAAAGTAATTACGGTCGTAATTTGATAGCGATGTATTTGCACATGTTTGCACCCTTAGTTCTTATCCGTTTGCGGCGAGTAGTCGTGTATTTTTGCCCGTTTTACGCCGGGTTGTGCTACTTTGTCATATTTTAGGTTCCAGACGTCGAAGGAAAGGCTAAGCACAAGTTTCGGGGCATTTAGAAGTCATTCGGTCGAGCTGGGGCCAAAGCACGGGCTTGCCTAACCCAAAACACGGCCGTGTACACACACAGGCACGCCAGTGTTTTTATTGCCGATAGTTGAACTGATGGAAAAGCAAAACACGGGCTAGCCTAAAGCAATACACGGTCGTGTCCATATTTAGGCACGACCGTGTTTTGGGCGACGTGTGCGTGTTTTTAACACGGGGCAAAACACGGGCCGGCAAAATCAAAGCACGGCCGTGTTTTGCCCAGGGTTGGCCTTTTAGGCAGATTTGAGCCAAAGGAGAAGGAGTTCCGATTTTTAGAGAGACAGAGCGATTCCTAGAGAGAGAAAGTGACGAACCAGAGTTCCCAAGTGCCCTAGCTTGATCTTCATAACCATTGGAGCCCGGCTTGACCTTGGAGAAGATTCGATTGAGCCCTAGAAGCAGATTATCATCCTTCACAGTATGGTTTCCGCATCTGGGCTAGATTTTCCATCTCTCTCCATGGAGTAGTTTTCCCATTCATCTGGGTGTGGAGAACCCTAGATTTGTATGTTAGGTCTGATTGTATGAACCCAAGTACAGATTTTATGATTTGATTATATTCAATTGAGACTTGAATGATTGAATGACTTGAATCCTGATCAAATTCCTGTTATTTCTGCTTTAGCCTAGAAAGAGAATATCTGACTAGGTTAATAGAGCACCCTTAATTAAAGGTAGTGAATAGGCGACTTTAGTCGAGGAGCCAATTCACTATTCTGTACCGAATTTACTTCGGTAGTGGAGGTTTGGTTCGTTAGGGTCTCAATCTGTTTACTCCGGTGGAGGTCAGTCGCCCGCTGGAGACTCAGATTGAGAGGGTCTGGAGACCTTTAGTCGAGACTTCAGACTATTTAAGAACCTTCCGCAATATAACTATCACAAAACTGAACTTGGTAAATTACAATCCGGCTTAATTGCAGTCTAGGGGGAACCATATCCGGGTGACCTCTCTCGACTTGAAAACAATCATTTAGTTGCTTGCTTGCTTGAACCTGCACTAAAGTTTCACCGCTAAATAATAAGAATTTGCTGAGTAGTCGTCACATCTAGGACCCGGGTTGACATTAAAACTCAAACCTGCTATACTACGCTTTAGGAAGTGGTTACACTTGGCCATTTTCTAGAGTGACAGTAGGAGTGAGCCAAGTTTTTGGCGTCGTTGCCGGGGACGGCTAGGTTGTTGAAGAAACATCAATTATGTTAATTTAGCTTTTCTTTTCGCATTGTTTGCTTTGTCCCACTTGTGCCTTCACGGGTTTGCTGCTGGACTGTGTGCAGGTAGTGCATGACCCGTAGCCAGTCAGGAGGTTCATCATCATCCACCGCCGCCGGATCTCACCTTGGAGTATTACTACACTCCACGGATTGCTGACATCCGCCCTGTCATCCTCTACCCGCCTATTCCAGCGAAAAATTTCGAGATCAAGCCATGCTGGATTCAACTCATCATATCCTCTATCCAGTTCCATGGCTTGAAGGATGAGGAGGCAAAGGTGCATCTTTCCCGTTTTCTGCAGCTGACGAACGGGTTCAAGCTAAATGGTGTCCCTGATGACGCAATCCGCCTTCACCTCTTCCCCCATTCTCTGGCGGGGAATGCTAAGAGGTGGTTGGAGACCCAGCCCCCATTGTCCATCACTTCTTGGGACGATCTGGCCGACAAGTTCGTGCACAGGTACTATCCAACATCGAAGACCACAAAGATCCAGCGGGAGATCACTCACTTCCGCCAAGAGCCAAATGAGTCACTTCGTGATGCATGGGAGCGGTACGCGATATTTCTGGCAGTGTCCCCATCATGGCTTCAGTGATGCATTCACAGTGGGGAACTTCTACAGTGCTCTCTCTCCGGAAAGCAGAGGGTGATTGAGTCTCTATGCCCAGGAGGGAATATTCTTACTAAGACTCCACCCGAACTGAACCAGATGGTCAATACCTTGGCTGCCAGAGATCATTCCTGGGGGCAGAGCACTAGAGGTAGGAATTTCCAGTACCGTGGTGTGCACGCCATGGAGGCCAGGTCCGGGCTCGAGCAGGAGGTGGCCGAGTTAGTGCAGACATTGAAGCAGCCCAATAGTCTTATTCCGGGTAGAGGTTTGGCTACACCTCCAGTAGCTCAATGTCAGTGGTGTGAGAAATCATCTGGTGGAAGACTGCCAGGCTATGCGGGAGTCAACTACTCCCCAAGAGAAGTTGGACTTCATCGCCAATGCTCGGCGCTTTGACCCCTACAGCAATACATACAATGAGGGGTGGCGCCAGCATCCCAACTTCGCTTGGAATAGCAACACCACTAAGCCACCTGGTTTCCCAGCACCAGCAGGTGGTTTTCAGCAGAGGCAGCCTTTCCAGGCTAGACAGGGGCCGGTTCCTCAGCAACAGCCTCAGCGTCGGTATGCCGAGCCAGCAGCAGCTCTGGCTCCAGATAATCAGATGATGGAGCTGAAAAACATTCTAGCGGCATTCATGACTACCACCCAGGAAACTTTCACGAGGATAGACCAGAGCATAGCCTCACTAGAGGCAGGCCTGAGGAACCAAGGTGCCGTTTTGCAAGATTTACAGAACCAGAAGGGTAGCATGGCTCGCCAAATTAATACCCGGGCCCCGGGAACTCTACCTGCCACTACCATCCCCAATCCACGGGAGCTGCACCAGCAGCTGAATGCCATCACCACCAGAAGTGGCAACTCAACATCGGCGGTACCTTCCCATGCTAGGGAGGAAGAGCCACTGCCTGCTTCAGCACTTCCAGCCGATGATGTAGAAGTGAGGGTGGAGAAGGAAGCCCCTGCTCCCAAGCCACAACCAGTAGTTAAGGAGCACGTACCCCAACTACCCTTCCCCACTCGACTACACAAAGATAAGCTGGAGACTGAGTTTGCCAAGTTCATGGCAATGTTGAAGCAGCTCAATATCAGCATACCTTTCATGGAGGCACTGTCGAAGATTCCCAAGTACACCAAGTTCATGAAGGATCTTCTCAGCAACAAGAAGAAACTTGGGGATCTTTCGACAGTGATCCTGAGCGAGGAATGTTCTGCCATCTTGCAGAACAAGCTGCCCGAAAAGCGCAAAGACCCCGGGAGTTTCACTATCCCTCTTAATATTGGTAGCATGCATGTAGGGAAGTCCTTGGCGGACCTAGGCTCTAGCATAAATGTCATGTCATACAATCTGTTTAAAAAGCTAGACCTAGGTGAACTTAGCCCTGCTAGGATGAGCATTCAGTTAGCTAATCGCTCTATTGTGCATCCTAGGGGTATCATAGAGGATCTGCTTGTTGAAGTAGGCGCATTCACGTATCCTGTTGATTTTGTTGTTCTGGATGTGCCTTTGATTCTGGGTATAGGTGTCAATCGAGCGGGTTCGGGCGGGTTCGGGCTGGGTTCAATCGGGTTCGGGTTCAAACGGGTTGCGGGTTAGTCGGGTTGAGGGTTCATCGGGTTCGGGTTCATCGGGTTCGGGTTCAAACGGGCTGCGGGTTAGTCGGGTTGCGGTTCATCGGGTTCGGATTCAATCGGGTTGCGGGCAAATCGGGTTGCGGGTTCATCGGGTTTTGGGTCGGGCGGGTTGCGGGTGGGTCGGGTTTCGGGTTGTTCGGGACAGCGCATCAAGTAACTTAACTCATTACTCATTACCAACTTACACATTTTATTACACTAATTTAAAATATTTTCTCAACTTTTTAACCAATTTATTTCTACCTCGTATATATATATACTTTATTTTTTTGAAAAAAACTAGTCAAAATGTTAAATCAATTTGTATGACTTGCAAACTTGTTATGTAATTAACCATAATTGGTAAAGTATTATAGCTAATAGTAATGGTGATATCAATATTTGCAACCAAAAGACACCGTTAATTGTTTATTTGATATTTTAGTATTAATTCAGTAGTAATTGGATTAAAGTATCTCGTTTAGTATAACCATGCAAATATGGTATTTGGCGTGTGGTATTTGGCAAAAGCATAGTGATAAAAGGAGTTATTTCAAAATAACTCATTGCCCAAATAACTTTAGTAAACTATTGCCAAACGAGTTATTTGTAAAATTGTTCGAATTATCCTAAAAATTGAACCATTAAAGATTAGCTATCAAATTTAGTAAAATTATTGTGACTTCAATCATAACTTACTCAATAGCATATATCCTATACACTTAGCTTTACCCTCAATCAACAATATTAAGTTAGTATATGTTGTTGATTGTATACCCTAAATCATCAATACATTATACACTAACCACATAACCTATACCCTAACCATATGTCCTTGAGTTGTGATTTTGCTAGTATAGTTAATTTAAAAGTGAAATTCATACTTTGATTTTCAAAACATAGATAAAAAGTGATGTTTACTAATTATTATACCCTAACCATATATCCTATACTTTACACCACATACCTTGTACCCTAACCACGTACCATAAACATAAATTGAAAAGGGATCTCCTGTCGTTAAAGACTTAAAATGACTTCAAGTGAACATATGTTAATAAAAAACTTAGAACCGTCAAAACCATCAATATCTTATACCCTAACCATATACACCCTTAACCATATGTACCTTATACCCTAACCATATACTTTATATCCTAAACAACGAACCGTCAAAGATGACTTATCAAGTTTAGTATAAATTGTTGTAACTAATGGTTAATTTATTTATTAGCCCATAAAAAATTACATACATATATACATATTAGCCTTCAAAGCATATAAGAATAATTTTAACTAGTCATGCCCTCCATATAAAAGTTAAAGATTCATATTTCAAAAGCTAAAATTATAAAAAACCAAAAAATTGAAAACACCAAATTTGTTTCTTTCTTTCTTTTCACAGAAATACTAAAATTTCCCTCCTTCTTTTTCCTTCCATACATTAGAAAAACTCAATTTTCTCTCCTCTTTCTCTTCCATAAAATTGAAAGAACCAAATTATCCTCTTCTTTCCTTCTACAAAAAGTTGAAAAGTCAAAAGTTTCCCTCCTTATTTCTCTTTCATAATCAAAAAAATCAAAATTTCCCACTTCTTTCTCTTCCCACATATCAAAACCACCAAAATTCCCACTTGTTTCTTTTCTAAAAAATTCAAAGAACCAGATTTCCCTCTTCTTTCTCTTCCCAAAACTTGAATACACCAAAATTTTCCTCTTCTTTGAAAAACATCAAATTACCAAATACATTACTTTACTTTATTTATATTTAATTGATAATTTTATTGAATAGTTAAATTAACCAAAATTTTAATTTATATATTATATTAATATTGTCATGATCTCAAGTGACCTTCATGTTTCAATTTTTGTAATTTTCTTAAAATACGTTAAATCAAGTGAGTTTCGTATTTTTAAAATTTCTTATACGAAATGAAAAAATAATTTTACTTAAGTTTAGAATGAAAAACTTTATTTTGAAAAACTATGTATTGTATATTTTTATAATTATTCAAGTGGATTAGATGAAATTCGGGTTGAGTCGGTCGGGTTACGGGTTAGTCGGGTTCAGGTCAATCGGGTTCAGGTTAATCGGGTTGCGGGTCAGTTGGGTTGCGGGTCAATCGGGTTCGGGTTAATCGGGTTGCGGGTTAGTCGGGTTGCGGGTTAGTTGGGTTGCGAGTCAATCGGGTTGCGGATCGGGCGGGTTACGGGTTGTTGACTTTTAGTCAATTCGGGTTGCGGTCGGGTTGCGGGTCGGGTTGATCGGGCGGGTTAATCGGGTCGGGCTATGTTTTGACACCTATAATTCTGGGTAGACCATTTCTTTCCACCGCCAAGGCACTAATTGATGTGCATTGTGGTAAACTGATCTTGCATGCTGGGAATGAACAGGCTACTTTTTTTGTGGCTGACCTTGATCATTGTGATATGCCTGCTATCACACCTATGCATGCCATTTCTCACCAGGTACACGATCCTGTCGTGTACCCCTCTGTGCATCTCTTGTTGCAGTATTCCCCTCTCACGCCTTCGCTATCACCCCATTCAACCTCACCTGCAAATAAAAAGCTCAAAGAGGAGTGGCGGCCGAAGCCGCAGGTGGCTAAGCCTGCACGGAAGAAAGGTGGAGACCACTATGAGCTGGTTCCACCTCATGCACCACGACCACCCTGGCAATCCGAGTACTCACTCGCCTGCATCTTGCCGGATGGCCAGGTCGAGCTGACCAATGCTGGTGGTCGCACCCGTCGAGTGCATGGCCACAATTTGAAGTTGTACCTCAAGAGCGATGTGGATCCGCTCTTGGAGGCACCTGTTCCTGCACCCCGCTGAGTATCCACAATGGGCGTCTAGCTAAAAGACGGTAAAGAAGCGCTTGTGGGAAGGCAACCCCACCACGGTTTTCATTTATTTCTTTTGTTTTGAGTCGGATTGTAAACTGGTTTGGTTTTGGTTTGTTTTCTTTTGTTTTGGATGATGCATTATTGGGCTGACCATTGGACCTAACATATTGTGTTTGAGTTCTTCTGTTCCCTTTAGCTCTGCTTTGTCCCTGACTGATCCCCTCTCCAGTCCTCTTCGCTCAGACTGGTCCACTTCCAGTCTCATGTAGTCTGTGCACACCGGTAACATCGTTCCCCTTATCTTTCCCTCTTCTCCATTGAGGGCAATGTCGATCTTAAGTGTGGGGGGGATGTTTCTCTTTTGACTACATTAGATCTGTTTGTGTGCTTGGAGCCTAGTCCATTGTCCAAATTTTTAAATTTGAGGGCTCCAAGTACGTGTTTCCTTGCAAATTGCATGCTCAGTATGCTTTGAATTGACAGTCTCTATAGTAATGTGCAACCTAGGTAGGTAGTGTAGCACTATGGAGGATGTTGAAGTATAAGATTTTTCCTATCTAGCTCTCTGCTGTGCCAGTTGATTTTGTGAATTAGTGGAGCTAGGACCGTTGAATTCATGTGGTAATGGTGACTCTATGTGGATTGTGTTATGGACTCGTGTATCGAACAGGGTGTTCATGTGGAAAATGAAAAATGCAGTTGGTCCTCCATGTCAAAATCATCAAAATCTTAAACATGGGGTAAGCCCAACGTGTGCGGCACCGTTCATTGCACCAAATCGGGTTTTGGAAGAGATTTTAGTGATCCTTAGTGGGGTACTACAAGGTGAAGCTAAGCTGTCTCTAGTACAAGTAAAACTTCCACCCGTTGAACGGTTTGGCTACTTGAGGATGTGTTTTTAAGGGCACGGATAGAGCTTCCGACCTCCCTTAATTTCATTGACCCTCTACCCGAGTTAAGGAAAAGGAGTTAAAAGAAGTACTCTGGCGAGCGCCAGATGTACAGAAATTGCTCTTAATCGACTAATAAGGGTCGACCGTGTAAGAGACTGCAGTTGGAACCCCCGCCAAGTGAATGAAAAAGAAAAAAAAAGTAAAATGAAAGTGAAAAATGGGTTCCAACGGTAAAATGAAGTGAAAAGAGCACCCCGGTACAACGATTCCTTGGTTGAGAATGACATGAGTCCCTTTATCCATGAACTGACTGTCTTACTTCTACTTCTTCTCATGATCCTAAACCAAAACACGGCCGTGTACACACACAGGCACGCCAGTGTTTTTATTGCCGAGAGTTGAACTGATGGAAAAGCAAAACACAGGCTGGCCTAAAGCAAAACACAGCCGTGTCCATATTTAGGCACGACCATATTTTGGCCGACGCGGGCGTGTTTTTAACACGGGGCAAAACACGGGCAAGCAAAATCAAAGCACGGCCGTGCCCTCGACCGTGTTTTGCCCAGGGTTGGCCTTTTAGGCAAATTTGAGCCAAAGGAGAAGGAGTTCCGATTTTTAGAGAGACATAGTGATTCCTAGAGAGAGAAAGTGACGAACTAGAGTTCCCAAGTGCCCTAGCTTGATCTTCATCACCATTGGAGCCCGGCTTGAGCTTGGAGAAGATCCGATTGAGCGCCAGAAGCAGATTATCATCTTTCACAGTATGGTTTCCGCATCTGAGCTAGATTTTCCATCTCTCTCCATGGAGTAGTTTTCCCATTCATCTGGGTATGGAGAACCCTAGATTTGTATGTTAGGTCTGATTGTATGAACCCAAGTACAGATTTCATGATTTGATTATGTTCAATTGAGACTTGAATGATTGAATGACTTGAATCCTGATCAAATTCCTATTATTTCTGCTTTAACCTAGAAAGAGAATATTTGTCTAGGTTAATAGAGCACCCTTAATTGAAGGTAGTGAATAGGCGACTTTAGTCGAGGAGCCAATTCACTATTCTGTACCGAATTTACTTCGGTAGTGGAGGTTTGGTTCGTTAGGGCCTCAATCTGTTTACTGCGGTGGAGGTTAGTCGCCCGCTGGAGACTCAGATTGAGAGGGTCTGGAGACCTTTAGTCGAGACTTCAGACTGTTTAAGAACCTTCCGCAGTATAACTATCATAAAACTGAACTTGGTAAATTACAATCCGGCTTAACTGCAGTCTAGGGGGAACCATATCCGGGTGACCTCTCTCGACATGAAAACAACCGTTTAGTTGCTTGCTTGTTTGCTTGTTTGAACCTGCACTAAAGTTTCACCGCTAAATAATAAGAATTCGCTGAGTAGTCATCACATCTACGACCCGGGTTGACATTAAAACCCAAACCTCTATACTACGCTTTAGGAAGTGGTTACACTTGGCCATTTTCTAGAGTGACAGTAGGAGTGAGTCATAATTCCTAAAATACTGGCAGTAATTGGGTAATTACGACCGTAATTCCTTTCTTCTGAGTTAAGTGAAACGCGCGTTTTGGGCGATTTGCGGGCAGACCATGATTACGACCGTAATTCAACCTGTAATTCTCCCAGAATCGGGTTTTGAGGCAGATTCGAGCCAAAGGAGAGGGAATCGACTTTTTTGAGCAAAAACGAAGTCTTAGAGAGAGAAAGTGTGAAAAACAAACCCTAGGAGCTATTTGGAGTGGATTTCTCATCATTGAAGCCCAGATTGCATCCCTAGGAGTGAAGATTGACATCCCAGAGCAGATTCTTCCCATTGTTATTAGTATGACTGCTTTGTATTCTGTTTCCCTCTCTCTCTCTCTCTATGGAGTATGAAAAACCCTAGTTCCATGTGTTGGGAATCTTGATTGTAATTACGTTTGGATTGTGATATTGGTTTATTATAATCGATTGAAGTGTTTTGATTGAGTCAATTGAAGTCTGATCATCTTTTATTGATTTCTGCTGCAACCTCAGATAGTTAGAATCTGATTAGGTTGTTAGAGCTTCTTCAATCGGTAGTAGTGAATCAATTATACGAGAGTTAGTCGATTCACTGCTTTGTACTGGAATCTAATTCCAGTAGTGGAGTTTTGTGTTCATTGCCTCAGCGTTCTATTCCGGTGAAGACTAGTCGTCTGCCGGGTAGTTTGACTGAGAGGGCTAGGTCAGCTTAAGAGATTCCAAGCTACTGTCGGATCTTCCGTAGTATAATCAACAGTAAAGCATCCAAAAGTAATTACAACTGTGACCTAACTAAGGAGCTAGGGGGACTCATTCCCGAGTGACTCTTCCTTTACTTTAGAAAACCGAACAATTTCCTGCTTTCTTACTGCTTTTACTTAAATAAACAATCACTTAACTTAGTTTGCTAGATAACAGATATACACGGAGTAGGCAGTAGATCTAGACCCCGGGTTGACAATTAGAGCTTGCCTGTTACTGCATTTCCGGACTGCGATTACACTTGGTCGCAGTTTGGTGTTGTGTTTTAGCGTGTCAAGTTTTTGGCGTCGTTGCCGGACGCTCACGGCAATGCCATTCAATTCCGACTTGGCGGGGAGTCATATTCCCTCAGCTATGATGACTTCGGCCTGGCACTGGGGCTTCTTCCACCATTCGCCTGCCATTTGGCCATTGAACAAAAGGACTGTCCTATCTTCCGGGACCAGCGTTTCTTCGAGAGGATCTGCCTCCCGGAGTTCGCGGCCACTATGTTCACACCGGGCTTGACCACTGCTACTCAGCTGCGCCCAGAGTGGCGCATCCTCAACCAGCTGTTGGGGAAATCTTACACCCCCAGCGGTGGCTTAGCCAGTCATCTTCAGCTCCGCACATTGCACTGCCTGCACTCCATCAGCCAGGAGGAAGACAATCTCCATTTGGCCTCTCTCATCGCCAGGACCGTCACCAAGGCTTCTTGCTGTGGTCGTGATCTCGCTTGTGGGCCGGTGGTCACTTCCCTTGCCCGGTACTTCAACATCGACCTCTCCGGGTTCACTGTCATCCTACCACCGACACCCTTCTCCCGAGAAACCCTACGGCGTCAGCTGATACTGGAGCACGACGGGGACGTGACCTGGATCCTGGGACTTCCTCGCCCTGTTCCTCGTGCACCAAAGGGCGAGGATCTCCCCGAGGCGAGCGATGCTGCCACTCGTCGGACCACACCTTCTGCATCTAGAGCGTCCACTTCTGCTGCCGGCCCGTCTGCTGCTGCCTCCACCTCCTACATTGCTGAGCAGTTGGCAGCCATTTTGATTCACTCCTACTGTCACCCTAGAAAATGGCCAAGTGAAACCACTTCCTAAGGCGTAGTATAGTGGGTTTGGGTTTGAATGTCAACCCGGGTCCTAGATTTGATGACTACTCGGTGAATTTTTGTTATCTAGCAGTAAAACTTTAGTGCAGGTCCAAATTAACAAACAAACAAAGCAAGTAAACGGTTGTTTTCAGGTTAAGAGAGGTCACCCGGATATGGTTCCCCCTAGACTGCATTTAAGCCGGATTGCAATTTACCAAGTTCAGTTTCCATGAAAATTATACAGCGGAAGGTTCTTCAACAGCATGAAGTCTCGACTAAAGGTCTTCAGACCCTCTCAATCTGAGTCTCCAGCGGGCGACTAACCTCCACCGGAGTAAACAGATTGAGGCCCTATGAACAAAACCTCCACTACCGAAGTGAATTTGGTATAGAATAGTGAGTTGGCTCCTCGACTAAAGTCACCAACTCCCTACCTTCAATCAAGGATGCTCTATCAACCTAGGCAGATATTCTCATTCTAGGTTAAAGCAGAAACAACAGGAATTTGATCAGGATTCAAGTCATTCAATCATTCAAGCCTCAATCGAATATAATCAACTCATGAAATCTGTACTTGGGTTCATACAATCAGACCTAATATACAAATCTAGGGTTCTCCATACCCAGATGAATGGGAGAACTACTCCATGGAGAAAGAAGCAAAAGCAGATTCAGACGTGGAAATCATACGGTGAAGGATGGATTTCTGCTCCTGGACGTTGATCGGCACTTCTCCAAGCTCAAGCCAAGCTCCAATGATGATGAAGATCAAGCTAGGGCACTTGGGAACTCTTGTACGTCACTTTCTCACTCTAGGAATCGATCTCTCTCTCTAAAACTCGAATCCCCTTGATCTTTGGCCTTCTTTTCCTTTAAAACTGCTGCCTGTCGCGATACCTGGTCGAAATACCCGGTCGGGTATTTTGGGTCTCGACCGGGTATAAATGAAACGCACGTTTTGATGTCAAGGGAAATCCCCGGTCTGTCCCCAGAATCCCCGACCGGGGGTTTTTGGCTCCTGCCCGGGCCCCCCTCTGTTTCTCACGGGTGCCAAAACAATAAATACCCGGTCGGGTATTTGAGCCCACGACCGGGTATTTTCCTCCTGCAGCACACTTCGACCCAACTTCGCTCCTTTTGACCCAAAACTCGTTTCCTCGCCTAGATTCCAACGTCGGGTCCTGAAATATGATATAAACACACAACCTCGCGTGAAATCGGCTTAAACACGAGAGCAACCTCTCAAACGGCTCAAGAATAGGGGTAAAAACATGTGTAATTATTGGTCTATCAAACTCCCCCACACTTAACCGTTTGCTTGTCCCCAAGCAAACCTAACTCAAACCAATGCAACTCTCCAGACCTCTATAGCAACCAACAACCCCGACCATAGGTAGAGGATTTCCTAGATCATTTAGCAGCTTACGAGGTCAACCAACGCACAAGTCATCTCATAGCTTCTTCGGCGAGAACGCTAGTCTCGAGTCGGCATCATGGCAAATAGTGAGCAGAGGACAAATGAATCATGGACGAATGGACTCTCAAAAACAAAAGATCATGGACTCACCTTTTTAAGGTGCTCTATTTTCTTCTTGAAGATGGTTGGAACCCTTTTTCTTTCCGTTTTGCTTGTTTTTTTTTTCAAGGGTCCCAACCTGCTTTTCAGAAAATGGGGGCTCCCACCTATCAGAGGTTTTGCGGGAGCCCGGCTCTTACCGGCCATGCCAGGAGCGGATGTCTCGAGCCTCGTGCGGGGGAAGGACATGTAAGGGGGCTGGAGGTAGTAGGTGGAAATTGGGAACGAATTCCCGTCTCCCCTTACACACTTTTGCCCTATTCGCACGGGAGACTTTATGTTAAAGCACATTTTCGAGCACCTTTTATTTCAAAAACATGATACAGGAGTCCATGACAGGTAGAGAGTCCACATCACCACACAATTCAAGATTCCTAAGATCACTAATTCACACAATCAACCAACACAATATGAAGAAGAAATGAGATTTCTTAAATGCATCAACATCCTCCATAGTGCTACACTACCTCCCTAGGTTGCACATTACTATAGAGACTGTCAATTCAAAGCATACTGAGCAGGCAATTGTAAGGAACACGTACTTGGAGCCCTCAAATTTAAGAATTTGGACAGTGGACTAGGCTCCAAGCACACAAACAGATCTAACGCAGTCAAAAGATAAACATCCCCCCCACACTTAAGATCGACATTGCCCTCAATGGAGAAGAGGGAAGGAAAAGGGGAACGATGTTACCGGTATGCACGGACTGCAGGAGACTGGAAGTGGACCAGTCGGAGTGAAGCAGACTGGAGAGAGGACCAGTCAGGACAAGCACAACTAAAGGAAACCAAAGATCTCAAACACAATACGTCAGGTCTAATGGTCAGCCCAATAGTACAGCATCCAAAATAAAAAGAAAGAAACTCAACCAACACAAGACAGTTTGCACACTGACAAAAACAAACACACTCAAAACATGGCACTAGGAGCCGCCTCCTAGAACGGTGAAGTCGATTTGGTTCATGAGGTCGTCGTCTCCATCCTCCGGTGGTGGTGGTGGGGAATGATCCCACCGTGTGGTCCAGTGGTGCTCCTCCGGTGGGTGACAAGCCTGGAGCAGGTGCTCCGAGTACTCCATCAATCGGCAGCC